CCCCCGTGCATGACTCACCCCCCATGCATGACTCAACCCCCGTACATGACTCCCCCCCATGCATGACTCACCCCCCATGCATGACTCACCCCCCATGCATGACTCACCCCCCATGCATGACTCACCCCCCGTGCATGACTCAACCCCCGTGCATGACTCACCCCATGCATGACTCACCCCCCGTGCATGACTCACCCCCCATGCATGACTCACCCCCCATGCATGACTCACCCCCATGCATGACTCACCCCCCATGCATGACTCATCCCCGTGCATGACTCACCCCCCATGCATGACTCACCCCCATGCATGACTCACCCCCCATGCATGACTCACCCCCCGTGCATGACTCACCCCCCATGCATGACTCATCCCCCGTGCATGACTCACCCCCCGTGCATGACTCACCCCCCGTGCATGACTCACCCCCCGTGCATGACTCACCCCCCATGCATGACTCACCCCCCATGCATGACTCACCCCCCCGTGCATGACTCATCCCCCATGCATGACTCACCCCCCGTGCATGACTCACCCCCCGTGCATGACTCACCCCCATGCATGACTCACCCCCCATGCATGACTCACCCCCATGCATGACTCACCCCCCATGCATGACTCACCCCCCATGCATGACTCACCCCCCATGCATGACTCCCCCCCATGCATGACTCACCCCCCATGCATGACTCATCCCCCATGCATGACTCACCCCCCATGCATGACTCATCCCTGCATGACATGCATGACTCACCCCCCGTGCATGACTCATCCCCCATGCATGACTCACCCCCATGCATGACTCATCCCCCATGCATGACTCACCCCCCATGCATGACTCACCCCCCATGCATGACTCACCCCCCATGCATGACTCACCCCCCATGCATGACTCACCCCCCATGCATGAGTCACCCCCCATGCATGACTCACCCCCCATGCATGACTCATCCCCCATGCATGACTCATCCCCCATGCATGACTCACCCCCCATGCATGACTCATCCCCCATGCATGACTCACCCCCCGTGCATGACTCACCCCCCATGCATGACTCACCCCCCATGCATGACTCATCCCCCATGCATGACTCACCCCCCATGCATGACTCACCCCCCATGCATGACTCACCCCCATGCATGACTCACCCCCCATGCATGACTCACCCCCCATGCATGACTCACCCCCATGCATGACTCATCCCCCATGCATGACTCACCCCCCATGCATGACTCACCCCCCATGCATGACTCACCCCCCATGCATGACTCACCCCCCATGCATGACTCACCCCCCTGCATGACTCACCCCCCCGTGCATGACTCACCCCCCGTGCATGACTCATCCCCCGTGCATGACTCACCCCCCGTGCATGACTCACCCCCCGTGCATGACTCACCCCCGTGCATGACTCACCCCCCGTGCATGACTCCCCCCGTGCATGACTCACCCCCCGTGCATGACTCACCCCGCCATGCATGACTCACCCGCCATGCATGACTCACCCCCCATGCATGACTCCATCCCCCATGCATGACTCATCCCCCATGCATCACTCATCCCCCATGCATGACTCACCCCCATGCATGACTCACCCCCATGCATGACTCACCCCCCATGCATGACTCACCCCCCATGCATGACTCACCCCCCATGCATGACTCACCCCCCATGCATGACTCACCTCCCATGCATGACTCACCCCCCGTGCATGACTCACCCCCCATGCATGACTCATCCCCCATGCATGACTCACCCCCCATGCATGACTCACCCCCCATGCATGACTCACCCCCCATGCATGAGTCACCCCCCGTGCATGACTCACCCCCCATGCATGACTCACCCCCGTGCATGACTCACCCCCCGTGCATGACTCACCCCCCGTGCATGACTCACCCCCCCGTGCATGACTCACCCCGCATGCATGACTCACCCCCCCATGCATGACTCACGCCCCCCATGCATGACTCATCCCCATGCATGACTCACCCCCCATGCATGACTCATCCCCCGTGCATGACTCAACCCCCGTGCATGACTCACCCCCCGTGCATGACCTCACCCCCCGTGCATGACTCATCCCCATGCATCACTCATCCCCCATGCATGACTCACCCCCCATGCATGACTCACCCCCCATGCATGACTCACCCCCCATGCATGACTCACCCCCCATGCATGAGTCACCCCCCGTGCATGACTCACCCCCATGCATGAATCATCCCCCGTGCATGACTCACCCCCCGTGCATGACTCACCCCCCGTGCATGACTCACCCCCCGTGCATGACTCATCCCCCATGCATCACTCATCCCCCATGCATGACTCACCCCCCATGCATGACTCACCCCCCATGCATGACTCACCCCCCATGCATGACTCACCCCCCATGCATGACTCACCCCCCGTGCATGACTCACCCCCCATGCATGACTCACCCCCCGTGCATGACTCACCCCCCGTGCATGACTCACCCCCGTGCATGACTCACCCCCATGCATGACTCACCCCCCATGCATGACTCACCCCCCATGCATGACTCATCCCCATGCATGACTCACCCCCCATGCATGACTCACCCCCCATGCATGACTCACCCCCCATGCATGACTCACCCCCCATGCATGACTCATCCCCCGTGCATGACTCAACCCCCGTGCATGACTCACTCCCCATGCATGACTCACCCCCCATGCATGACTCACCCCCCATGCATGACTCACCCCCCATGCATGACTCACCCCCCATGCATGACTCACCCCCCATGCATGACTCACCCCCCATGCATGACTCATCCCCCGTGCATGACTCACCCCCCGTGCATGACTCGCTGACTCACCCCCCGTGCATGACTCACCCCCCATGCATGACTCATCCCCGTGCATGAGCTCAACCCCCGTGCATGACTCACTCCCGTGCATGACTTCACCCCCCGTGCATGACTCCACCCCCCATGCATGACTCACCCCCCATGCATGACTCATCCCCCCATGCATGACTCACCCCCCCATGCATGACTCACCCCCCATGCATGACTCATCCCCCGTGCATGACTCACCCCCCGTGCTGACTCACCCCCGGTGCATGACTCACCCCCCGTGCATGACTCACCCCCCCATGCATGACTCACCCCCCATGCATGACTCACCCCCCATGCATGACTCATCCCCAATGCATGACTCACCCCCCATGCATGACTCATCCCCCGTGCATGACTCAACCCCCGTGCATGACTCACCCCCCGTGCATGACTCACCCCCCGTGCATGACTCACGCCCCCATGCATGACTCACCCCCCATGCATGACTCATACCCCATGCATGACTCACCCCCATGCATGACTCACCCCCCATGCATGACTCACCCCCCATGCATGACTCATCCCCCGTGCATGACTCACCCCCCGTGCATGACTCACCCCCCGTGCATGACTCACCCCCCGTGCATGACTCACCCCCCATGCATGACTCACCCCCCATGCATGACTCACCCCCCATGCATGACTCATCCCCCATGCATGACTCACCCCCCATGCATGACTCATCCCCCGTGCATGACTCAACCCCCCGTGCATGACTCACCCCCCGTGCATGACTCACCCCCCGTGCATGACTCACCCCCCATGCATGACTCACCCCCCATGCATGACTCATCCCCCATGCATGACTCACCCCCCATGCATGACTCACCCCCCATGCATGACTCACCCCCCATGCATGACTCACCCCCCATGCATGACTCACCCCCCATGCATGACTCACCCCCCATGCATGACTCACCCCCCATGCATGACTCACCCCCCCATGCATGAGTCACCCCCCATGCATGAGTCACCCCCCCCATGCATGGACTCACCCCCCATGCATGACTCATCCCCCATGCATGACTCACCCCCCCATGCATGACTCACCCCCCATGCATGACTCACCCCCCCATGCATGACTCACCCCCCATGCATGACTCACCCCCCATGCATGAGTCACCCCCCCATGCATGAGTCACCCCCCATGCATGACTCACCCCCCATGCATGACTCACCCCCCCATGCATGAGTCACCCCCCATGCATGACTCACCCCCCATGCATGACTCATCCCCCATGCATGAGTCACCCCCCATGCATGAGTCACCCCCCATGCATGACTCACCCCCCCATGCATGACTCACCCCCATGCATGACTCACCCCCCATGCATGACTCACCCCCCATGCATGAGTCACCCCCCGTGCATGACTCACCCCCCATGCATGACTCATCCCCCATGCATGACTCACCCCCCATGCATGACTCACCTCCCATGCATGACTCACCCCCCGTGCATGACTCATCCCCCATGCATGACTCATCCCCCATGCATGACTCACCCCCCATGCATGACTCACCCCCCATGCATGACTCACCCCCCATGCATGACTCACCCCCCATGCATGACTCACCCCCCATGCATGACTCACCCCCCATGCATGAGTCACCCCCCCGTGCATGACTCACCCCCATGCATGACTCACCCCCCGTGCATGACTCACCCCCCGTGCATGACTCACCCCCCGTGCATGACTCACCCCCCCATGCATGACTCACCCCCCATGCATGACTCATTCACCATGCATGACTCACCCCCCATGCATGACTCACCCCCCATGCATGACTCACCCCCCATGCATGACTCACCCCCCATGCATGACTCACCCCCCATGCATGACTCACCCCCCGTGCATGGGGGGTGCCCCATGCATGACTCACCCCCCATGCATGACTCACCCCCCATGCATGACTCACCCCCCATGCATGACTCACCCCCCATGCATGACTCATCCCCCATGCATGACTCACCCCCCATGCATGACTCATCCCCCGTGCATGAATCATCCCCCATGCATGACTCACCCCCCATGCATGACTCACCCCCCATGCATGACTCACCCCCCATGCATGACTCACCCCCCATGCATGACTCACCCCCCATGCATGACTCACCCCTCATGCATGACTCACCCCCCCGTGCATGACTCATCCCCCATGCATGACTCATCCCCCGTGCATGACTCACCCCCCGTGCATGACTCACCCCCCGTGCATGACTCACCCCCCGTGCATGACTCATCCCCCATGCATGACTCACCCCCCATGCATGACTCACCCCCCATGCATGACTCACCCCCATGCATGACTCACCCCCCATGCATGACTCACCCCCCGTGCATGACTCAACCCCCGTGCATGACTCACCCCCCATGCATGACTCACCCCCCGTACATGACTCACCCCCCATGCATGACTCACCCCCCATGCATGACTCATCCCCATGCATGACTCAACCCTCATGCATGACTCACCCCCATGCATGACTCACCCCCCATGCATGACTCACCCCCCATGCATGAGTCACCCCCCGTGCATGACTCACCCCCCATGCATGACTCATCCCCCATGCATGACTCATCCCCCATGCATGACTCACCCCCCATGCATGACTCACCCCCCGTGCATGACTCATCCCCCATGCATGACTCATCCCCCATGCATGACTCATCCCCCATGCATGACTCACCCCCCATGCATGACTCACCCCCCATGCATGACTCACCCCCCATGCATGACTCACCCCCCATGCATGACTCACCCCCCATGCATGACTCACCCCCCATGCATGACTCACCCCCCATGCATGAGTCACCCCCCATGCATGAGTCACCCCCCATGCATGACTCACCCCCCATGCATGACTCATCCCCCATGCATGACTCACCCCCCATGCATGACTCACCCCCCATGCATGACTCATCCCCCATGCATGACTCACCCCCCATGCATGACTCACCTCCCATGCATGACTCACCCCCCATGCATGACTCACCCCCCATGCATGACTCACCCCCCATGCATGACTCACCCCCCATGCATGAGTCACCCCCCATGCATGAGTCACCCCCCATGCATGACTCATCCCCCATGCATGACTCATCCCCCATGCATGACTCATCCCCCATGCATGACTCATCCCCCATGCATGACTCATCCCCCATGCATGACTCACCCCCCATGCATGACTCACCCCCCATGCATGACTCACCCCCCATGCATGACTCACCCCCCATGCATGAGTCACCCCCCATGCATGAGTCACCCCCCATGCATGACTCATCCCCCATGCATGACTCATCCCCCATGCATGACTCACCCCCCATGCATGACTCATCCCCCATGCATGACTCACCCCCCGTGCATGACTCACCCCCCATGCATGACTCACCCCCCATGCATGACTCATCCCCCATGCATGACTCACCCCCCATGCATGACTCACCCCCCATGCATGACTCACCCCCCATGCATGACTCACCCCCCATGCATGACTCACCCCCCATGCATGACTCATCCCTCATGCATGACTCATCCCCCATGCATGACTCACCCCCCATGCATGACTCACCCCCCATGCATGACTCACCCCCCATGCATGACTCACCCCCCATGCATGAGTCACCCCCCATGCATGAGTCACCCCCCATGCATGACTCACCCCCCATGCATGACTCATCCCCCATGCATGACTCACCCCCCATGCATGACTCACCCCCCATGCATGACTCATCCCCCATGCATGACTCACCCCCCATGCATGACTCACCTCCCATGCATGACTCACCCCCCATGCATGACTCACCCCCCATGCATGACTCACCCCCCATGCATGACTCACCCCCCATGCATGAGTCACCCCCCATGCATGAGTCACCCCCCATGCATGACTCATCCCCCATGCATGACTCATCCCCCATGCATGACTCATCCCCCATGCATGACTCATCCCCCATGCATGACTCATCCCCCATGCATGACTCACCCCCCATGCATGACTCACCCCCCATGCATGACTCACCCCCCATGCATGACTCACCCCCCATGCATGACTCACCCCCCATGCATGAGTCACCCCCCATGCATGAGTCACCCCCCATGCATGACTCACCCCCCATGCATGACTCATCCCCCATGCATGACTCACCCCCCATGCATGACTCACCCCCCATGCATGACTCATCCCCCATGCATGACTCACCCCCCATGCATGACTCACCTCCCATGCATGACTCACCCCCCATGCATGACTCACCCCCCATGCATGACTCACCCCCCATGCATGACTCACCCCCCATGCATGAGTCACCCCCCATGCATGAGTCACCCCCCATGCATGACTCATCCCCCATGCATGACTCATCCCCCATGCATGACTCATCCCCCATGCATGACTCATCCCCCATGCATGACTCATCCCCCATGCATGACTCACCCCCCATGCATGACTCACCCCCCATGCATGAGTCACCCCCCATGCATGACTCACCCCCCATGCATGACTCACCCCCATGCATGACTCACCCCCCATGCATGACTCACCCCCCATGCATGAGTCACCCCCCGTGCATGACTCACCCCCCATGCATGACTCATCCCCCATGCATGACTCACCCCCCATGCATGACTCACCTCCCATGCATGACTCACCCCCCGTGCATGACTCATCCCCCATGCATGACTCATCCCCCATGCATGACTCACCCCCCATGCATGACTCACCCCCCATGCATGACTCACCCCCCATGCATGACTCACCCCCCATGCATGACTCACCCCCCATGCATGACTCACCCCCCATGCATGAGTCACCCCCCGTGCATGACTCACCCCCATGCATGACTCACCCCCCGTGCATGACTCACCCCCCGTGCATGACTCACCCCCCGTGCATGACTCACCCCCCATGCATGACTCACCCCCCATGCATGACTCATTCACCATGCATGACTCACCCCCCATGCATGACTCACCCCCCATGCATGACTCACCCCCCATGCATGACTCACCCCCCATGCATGACTCACCCCCCATGCATGACTCACCCCCCGTGCATGGGGGGTGCCCCATGCATGACTCACCCCCCATGCATGACTCACCCCCCATGCATGACTCACCCCCCATGCATGACTCACCCCCCATGCATGACTCATCCCCCATGCATGACTCACCCCCCATGCATGACTCATCCCCCGTGCATGAATCATCCCCCATGCATGACTCACCCCCCATGCATGACTCACCCCCCATGCATGACTCACCCCCCATGCATGACTCACCCCCCATGCATGACTCACCCCCCATGCATGACTCACCCCTCATGCATGACTCACCCCCCGTGCATGACTCATCCCCCATGCATGACTCATCCCCCGTGCATGACTCACCCCCCGTGCATGACTCACCCCCCGTGCATGACTCACCCCCCGTGCATGACTCATCCCCCATGCATGACTCACCCCCCATGCATGACTCACCCCCCATGCATGACTCACCCCCATGCATGACTCACCCCCCATGCATGACTCACCCCCCGTGCATGACTCAACCCCCGTGCATGACTCACCCCCCATGCATGACTCACCCCCCGTACATGACTCACCCCCCATGCATGACTCACCCCCCATGCATGACTCATCCCCATGCATGACTCAACCCTCATGCATGACTCACCCCCATGCATGACTCACCCCCCATGCATGACTCACCCCCCATGCATGAGTCACCCCCCGTGCATGACTCACCCCCCATGCATGACTCATCCCCCATGCATGACTCATCCCCCATGCATGACTCACCCCCCATGCATGACTCACCCCCCGTGCATGACTCATCCCCCATGCATGACTCATCCCCCATGCATGACTCATCCCCCATGCATGACTCACCCCCCATGCATGACTCACCCCCCATGCATGACTCACCCCCCATGCATGACTCACCCCCCATGCATGACTCACCCCCCATGCATGACTCACCCCCCATGCATGACTCACCCCCCATGCATGAGTCACCCCCCATGCATGAGTCACCCCCCATGCATGACTCACCCCCCATGCATGACTCATCCCCCATGCATGACTCACCCCCCATGCATGACTCACCCCCCATGCATGACTCATCCCCCATGCATGACTCACCCCCCATGCATGACTCACCTCCCATGCATGACTCACCCCCCATGCATGACTCACCCCCCATGCATGACTCACCCCCCCATGCATGACTCACCCCCCATGCATGAGTCACCCCCCATGCATGAGTCACCCCCCATGCATGACTCATCCCCCATGCATGACTCATCCCCCATGCATGACTCATCCCCCATGCATGACTCATCCCCCATGCATGACTCATCCCCCATGCATGACTCACCCCCCATGCATGACTCACCCCCCATGCATGACTCACCCCCCATGCATGACTCACCCCCCATGCATGAGTCACCCCCCATGCATGAGTCACCCCCCATGCATGACTCATCCCCCATGCATGACTCATCCCCCATGCATGACTCACCCCCCATGCATGACTCATCCCCCATGCATGACTCACCCCCCGTGCATGACTCACCCCCCATGCATGACTCACCCCCCATGCATGACTCATCCCCCATGCATGACTCACCCCCCATGCATGACTCACCCCCCATGCATGACTCACCCCCCATGCATGACTCACCCCCCATGCATGACTCACCCCCCATGCATGACTCATCCCTCATGCATGACTCATCCCCCATGCATGACTCACCCCCCATGCATGACTCACCCCCCATGCATGACTCACCCCCCATGCATGACTCATCCCCCATGCATGACTCACCCCCCATGCATGAGTCACCCCCCATGCATGAGTCACCCCCCATGCATGACTCATCCCCCATGCATGACTCATCCCCCATGCATGACTCACCCCCCATGCATGACTCATCCCCCATGCATGACTCACCCCCCGTGCATGACTCACCCCCCATGCATGACTCACCCCCCATGCATGACTCATCCCCCATGCATGACTCACCCCCCATGCATGACTCACCCCCCATGCATGACTCACCCCCCATGCATGACTCACCCCCCATGCATGACTCACCCCCCATGCATGACTCATCCCTCATGCATGACTCATCCCCCATGCATGACTCACCCCCCATGCATGACTCACCCCCCATGCATGACTCACCCCCCATGCATGACTCATCCCCCATGCATGACTCACCCCCCATGCATGACTCACCCCCCATGCATGACTCACCCCCCATGCATGACTCACCCCCCATGCATGACTCACCTCCCATGCATGACTCATCCCCCATGCATGACTCATCCCCCATGCATGACTCATCCCCCATGCATGACTCACCCCCCATGCATGACTCACCCCCCATGCATGACTCACCCCCCGTGCATGACTCATCCCCCGTGCATGACTCACCCCCCGTGCATGACTCACCCCCCGTGCATGACTCACCCCCCATGCATGACTCACCCCCCGTGCATGACTCACCCCCCGTGCATGACTCACCCCCCATGCATGACTCACCCCCCGTGCATGACTCATCCCCCGTGCATGACTCACCCCCCGTGCATGACTCACCCCCCGTGCATGACTCATCCCCCATGCATGACTCACCCCCCGTGCATGACTCACCCCCCGTGCATGACTCACCCCCCGTGCATGACTCACCCCCCGTGCATGACTCACCCCCCATGCATGACTCACCCCCCATGCATGACTCACCCGCCATGCATGACTCACCCCCCATGCATGACTCACCCCCCATGCATGACTCATCCCCCATGCATGACTCACCCCCCATGCATGACTCACCCCCCGTGCATGACTCACCCCCCATGCATGACTCACCCCCCATGCATGACTCACCCCCCATGCATGACTCACCCCCCATGCATGACTCATCCCCCATGCATGACTCACCCCCCATGCATGACTCACCCCCCATGCATGACTCACCCCCCGCGCATGACTCACCCCCCGTGCATGGGGGGTGCCCCATGCATGACTCACCCCCCATGCATGACTCACCCCCCATGCATGACTCACCCCCCATGCATGACTCACCCCCCATGCATGACTCATCCCCCATGCATGACTCACCCCCCATGCATGACTCATCCCCCATGCATGACTCACCCCCCATGCATGACTCACCCCCCGTGCATGACTCACCCCCCATGCATGACTCACCCCCCATGCATGACTCACCCCCCATGCATGACTCACCCCCCATGCATGACTCATCCCCCATGCATGACTCACCCCCCATGCATGACTCACCCCCCATGCATGACTCACCCCCCGCGCATGACTCAACCCCCGTGCATGGGGGGTGCCCCATGCATGACTCACCCCCCATGCATGACTCACCCCCCATGCATGACTCACCCCCCATGCATGACTCACCCCCCATGCATGACTCATCCCCCATGCATGACTCACCCCCCAAGCATGACTCATCCCCCGTGCATGAATCATCCCCCATGCATGGCTCACCCCCCATGCATGACTCACCCCCCATGCATGACTCACCCCCCATGCATGACTCACCCCTCATGCATGACTCACCCCCCGTGCATGACTCATCCCCCATGCATGACTCATCCCCCCGTGCATGACTCACCCCCCGTGCATGACTCACCCCCCATGCATGACTCACCCCCCATGCATGACTCATCCCCCATGCATGACTCACCCCCCATGCATGACTCACCCCCATGCATGACTCACCCCCATGCATGACTCACCCCCCGTACATGACTCACCCCCCATACATGACTCACCCCCCATGCATGACTCACCCCCCATGCATGACTCATCCCCATGCATGACTCACCCCCCATGCATGACTCACCCCCCATGCATGACTCACCCCCCATGCATGAGTCACCCCCCGTGCATGACTCACCCCCCATGCATGACCTCCCCCATGCATGACTCACCCCCCATGCATGACTCATCCCCCATGCATGACTCACCCCCCATGCATGACTCACCCCCCATGCATGACTCACCCCCCGTGCATGACTCACCCCCCGTGCATGACTCACCCCCCGTGCATGACTCACCCCCCATGCATGACTCACCCCCCGTGCATGACTCACCCCCCATGCATGACTCACCCCCCATGCATGACTCACCCCCCGTGCATGACTCACCCCCCATGCATGACTCATCCCCATGCATGACTCACCCCCCATGCATGAGTCACCCCCCGTGCATGACTCACCCCCCATGCATGACTCACCCCCCATGCATGACTCATCCCCCGTGCATGACTCACCCCCCGTGCATGACTCACCCCCCATGCATGACTCACCCCCCATGCATGACTCACCGGACTCACCCCCCGTGCATGACTCACCCCCCGTGCATGACTATGACTCACCCCCCATGCATGACTCACCCCCATGCATGACTCACCCCCATGCATGACTCACCCCCCATGCATGACTCACCCCCCGTGCATGACTCAACCCCCGTGCATGACTCACCCCCCATGCATGACTCACCCCCCGTACATGACTCACCCCCCATGCATGACTCACCCCCCATGCATGACTCACCCCCCATGCATGACTCACCCCCCATGCATGACTCATCCCCCATGCATGACTCACCCCCCGTGCATGACTCATCCCCCATGCATGACTCAGCCCCCATGCATGACTCACCCCCCATGCATGACTCACCCCGCATGCATGACTCACCCCCCATGCATGACTCACCCCCCATGCATGACTCACCCCCCATGCATGAGTCACCCCCCGTGCATGACTCACCCCCCGTGCATGACTCACCCCCCGTGCATGACTCACCCCCCGTGCATGACTCATCCCCCATGCATGACTCACCCCCCATGCATGACTCACCCCCCATGCATGACTCACCCCCCATGCATGACTCACCCCCCATGCATGACTCACCCCCCATGCATGACTCACCCCCCATGCATGACTCACCCCCCATGCATGACTCACCCCCCATGCATGACTCACCCCCCATGCATGAGTCACCCCCCGTGCATGACTCACCCCCCGTGCATGACTCACCCCCCGTGCATGACTCACCCCCCATGCATGACTCACCCCCCATGCATGACTCATCCCCCATGCATGACTCATCCCCCATGCATGACTCACCCCCCATGCATGACTCATCCCCCATGCATGACTCATCCCCCGTGCATGACTCACCCCCCATGCATGACTCACCCCCCATGCATGACTCACCCCCCGTGCATGACTCATCCCCCATGCATGACTCATCCCCCATGCATGACTCATCCCCCGTGCATGACTCACCCCCCATGCATGACTCACCCCCCATGCATGACTCACCCCCCATGCATGACTCACCCCCCATGCATGACTTACCCCCCGTGCATGACTCACCCCCCGTGCATGACTCACCCCCCGTGCATGACTCACCCCCCATGCATGAGTCACCCCCCGTGCATGAGTCACCCCCCATGCATGACTCATCCCCCGTGCATGACTCACCCCCCGTGCATGACTCACCCCCCGTGCATGAATCACCCCCCATGCATGACTCACCCCCCGTGCATGACTCATCCCCCGTGCATGACTCACCCCCCGTGCATGACTCACCCCCCGTGCATGACTCACCCCCCATGCATGACTCACCCCCCGTGCATGACTCACCCCCCGTGCATGACTCACCCCCCGTGCATGACTCACCCCCCGCGCATGACTCACCCCCCGCGCATGACTCACCCCCCGTGCATGACTCACCCCCCATGCATGACTCACCTCCCATGCATGACTCACCCCCCGTGCATGACTCATCCCCCATGCATGACTCATCCCCCATGCATGACTCATCCCCCGTGCATGACTCACCCCCCATGCATGACTCACCCCCCATGCATGACTCACCCCCCATGCATGACTCACCCCCCATGCATGACTTACCCCCCGTGCATGACTCACCCCCCGTGCATGACTCACCCCCCGTGCATGACTCACCCCCCATGCATGAGTCACCCCCCGTGCATGAGTCACCCCCCATGCATGACTCATCCCCCGTGCATGACTCACCCCCCGTGCATGACTCACCCCCCGTGCATGAATCACCCCCCATGCATGACTCACCCCCCGTGCATGACTCATCCCCCGTGCATGACTCACCCCCCGTGCATGACTCACCCCCCGTGCATGACTCACCCCCCATGCATGACTCACCCCCCGTGCATGACTCACCCCCCGTGCATGACTCACCCCCCGTGCATGACTCACCCCCCGCGCATGACTCACCCCCCGCGCATGACTCACCCCCCGTGCATGACTCACCCCCCTGCATGACTCACTCCCCATGCATGACTCACTCCCCATGCATGACTCACCCCCCGTGCATGACTCACCCCCCGTGCATGACTCACCCCCCGTGCATGACTCACCCCCGTGCATGACTCACCCCCCATGCATGACTCATCCCCCCCCATGCATGACTCACCCCCCGTGCATGACTCACCCCCCGTGCATGACTCACCCCCCGTGCATGACTCACCCCCCGTGCATGACTCACCCCCCGCGCATGACTCACCCCCCGCGCATGACTCACCCCCCGTGCATGACTCACCCCCCATGCATGACTCACCCCCCATGCATGACTCACCCCCCGTGCATGACTCACCCCCCGTGCATGACTCACCCCCCGTGCATGACTCACCCCCCATGCATGACTCACCCCCCATGCATGACTCATCCCCCATGCATGACTCACCCCCCGTGCATGACTCACCCCCGTGCATGACTCACCCCCCATGCATGACTCATCCCCCCCCATGCATGACTCACCCCCCGTGCATGACTCACCCCCCGTGCATGACTCACCCCCCGTGCATGACTCACCCCCCGTGCATGACTCACCCCCCGTGCATGACTCACCCCCCGTGCATGACTCACCCCCCGTGCATGACTCACCCCCCGCATGACTCACCCCCCGCGCATGACTCACCCCCCGTGCATGACTCACCCCCCCATGCATGACTCACCCCCCATGCATGACTCACCCCCCGTGCATGACTCAACCCCCGTGCATGACTCACCCCCCGTGCATGACTCACCCCCCATGCATGACTCACCCCCCATGCATGACTCATCCCCCATGCATGACTCACCCCCCGTGCATGACTCATCCCCCATGCATGACTCATCCCCCATGCATGACTCACCCCCCATGCATGACTCACCCCCCATGCATGACTCACCCCGTCCACCGCAGAGTAGGTGCGGTCTCCGGCAAGGAGACACGAGGCTGAAGGTTAAGCTGATGCGCAGCGTACTGAACCGCGAACGGCCACAGAAAATGGGGAGCAGCCGCATGGATCATGGACGTACGAGCGACGTCCATGACCATGCCAATGCGGCGCTCAGCAATTCCATTTTGCTGTGGGGAGGCCGGAAGCGTGAAAGTCTGGCGGATGCCCTCCGCACGACAGAAAGCCCGCAGAAGGTCGGAGGAAAACTCACCACCCCTGTCTGAGTGCAGACGCAGAACAGGAACTCCCTTCCTTACCCTCTTTTTTCCCTTCTTCCTGTCTCCTCATTTTCCCGTTTCCTCTCATCCTGTGCCCTCCAATTTCCCACTCCCAGGCTGTGGTCTGTGTGTGTTTTCTACCCATGAGCAGAGGACCTACGACATAGTGTCGAATGTTTGGCGTAAAGGTGGGAAATGGACTGATAGTAGGGAAATGTTGGTGCAGGGGTGTGTTTGTTTTGTTTTAGCATGTTTGATTTGATTTCTGTTTTTGTAATGCGCACCTGTTACAACCCTCCAGTTGATTCCATCCAGCAACCCAACCCTCTCCCGAAATCAATTGCATTTGGCGGCTCTGTTTCAGAACATTGGCAGGGAATCCGGTAGCTCAGACAGATGCTGCAGCAACAGGGGAGGAGTGAGCGGCTTCCTCATACTGCCCTCCATATGTCTGCCGCCCCTCCTATTGCCGGCCTATCATCTGCCTCCTCTCTCCTTGCGCTACCGCCAGTCAGTCCCACTGCCTCCCTCCTCTGTCCGGGGTGGCGTGTTGCTAACAGGGTTGATGCAAGCTGATGGGCAAGCGAACAGGCTTAGGAGCGTATGGTTTAGGTGCCACAAAATGATAGTGGTCATTACTCTTTAACAGATTGCTACTAGCTCATGGTACGTGCTGCTAACGGTTGCGTGTTGCTAACCGTTGCTGCTGGCAATAACATTGCTGCTGAAGGTCACCACCTAACTGAAGTGCTGATAAATGCAGTTGCTTGGGCTACAGCTTTGCCTGTCATTTCTCTATCACACCAAGTTACCTACAGATGTATAGACTGAAACAGTTAGCAATAGAGGTGCTACACCTCATTTGAAACTGTGGAACCAACCACTGTATGTGGCATAATTATACCGGCGTGGCTTGGGCAGTCTAGGCGGCAATCTTGATAAACACGTCTTTCAGAGTCGTGTTGGTGAATCCCCATGCCCGGTCACGCACCGATGCAATTGTTGTCGCTGACACGTGCCGTCGACTATACGGTATTTATACTGGTGTAGCTTGGGCTGTCTTGGCAATCTTGATAAACACGTCTTCCAGAGTCGTGTTGGTGAATCCCCAAGAGCGTGAACCTGCTGGCAGGGGGCGTGGGAGACAAGGTGTCGGGGCAGTACAGTGGCGGCATGAAGAGGCGCCTCAGTGTCGCCATCTCCCTTATAGGCAACCCCCTTGTTGTGTATATGGATGAGCCAAGCACTGGGCTGGATCCCGCCTCAAGGAAGCTTCTGTGGGACGTGGTGAAGGCTGCCAAGAAAGACCGGGCGATTGTGCTGAAAGTGATAATAACTTGCTCGTCTCTCCTTGCACACTATTTCTCTAAACCAATCCCCCCAACGCCCAGTGTGCTGGGCTGTGGTTAGTGTGTGGGCTGTGGTGAGTGTGGTGGGCTGTGGTGAGTGTGGTGGGCTGTGGTGAGTGTGATCGGCTGTGGTGAGTGTGGTGGGCTGTGGTGAGTGTGGTGGGCTGTGGTGAGTGTGGTGGACTGTGGTGAGTGTGGTGGGCTATGGTGAGTGTGGTGGGCTGTAGTGAGTGTGGTGGGCTGTGGTGAGTGTGGTGGGCTGTGGTGAGTGTGGTGGGGTGTGGTGAGTGCGGTGGGCTGTGGTGAGTGTGGTGGGCTGTGGTGAGTGTGGTGGGCTGTGGTGAGTGTGGTGGGCTGTGGTGAGTGTGGTGGGCTGTGGTGAGTGTGGTGGGCTGTGGTGAGTGTGGTGGGCTGTGGTGAGTGTGGTGGGCCATGGTGATTGTGATGGGCTGTGGTGAGTGTCTTGGGCTGTGGTCAGTGTGGTGGGCTGTGGTGGGTGTGGTGGGTTGTGGTGAGTGTGGTGGGCTGTGGTGAGTGTGGTGGGGTGTGGTGAGTGTGATGGGCTGTGGTGAGTGTGGTGGGCTATGGTGATTGTGGTGGGCTGTGGTGAGTGTGGTGGGCTGTGGTGAGTGTGGTGGGCTGTGGTGAGTGTGGTGGGCTGTGATGAGTGTGGTGGGCTGTGGTGAGTGTGGTGGGGTGTGGTCAGTGTGGTGGGATGTGGTGAGTGTGGTGGGCTGTGGTGAGTGTGGTGGGCTGTGGTGAGTGTGGTGGGTGTTGGGCTGAGAAAAGCCCTTAGGATCTTTGCAAGGCTAAACTCTGAGTAGGACTTGTTGTAAATGCGGAAGCGTATAATGAAGTACTTGAACCACCTTGCGCTGTTATGTGAGGGCAAAGTAGATTGATTAAAACAAAGAGATACAAGGTTTTATAAGAGTACAAGGAATACGAATAGATGCAGTTGATAATCGTTTTACTATTGTTGTTGCGGTTCGATACAGTGACGACTCGGGCAACTGCTCAATAACGAGTCAGTTGTTTGTCCTTGCTGTCGCGCTGTACTTGTCAGGTCAAAGGTCGCTGAACTTTGACTTTCGCGTTGACTCGCTGATGCTTCGCTGTGTTTCGCTTCGTTTATGACTTAGTGTTTCGACGCGACAGAGGCGCTTGAATCACTTGTTTCCAACGCTCCCCTTCGCTTCTGGAGTGTCGCTGCTGGTGACGTGGCTTTGTCCAGTCAGCAGCATGCAGTACTCGAACTTCTGCTTTCCGAGTTTCTTGGTCAAGTAATCAGCTGCCATCTCAGACGTGGGGCAGTAAGGCAGCTCGAGTCTCCCCTTCTCGATCTCGTCCTTCACGAAGAAATATCGCAGGGCGATGTGCTTCGTCCTGTTCGCGAATCCATTTTTGTTGGCTTTGCGAATTGCTGACTGGTTGTCGCAGAACAAGGAGAGGCTGGGTAACTGAGCCAGCTTCGCTTCCTCCAGGAGTTCGCGAAGGTACAGTCCTTCCTTGGTGGCTGAGCAGAGTGCGATATTCTGCTTCAGCTGAGGAGAGGGCGATTAACTCCTGCTTGCTCGACTGCCAGGAGATAGGTCCGATAGGTTCGAAGCGATAGATGTAGCCGGTCCGCGAGCGTCTGTTGTCGGAGTCGCCGGCATGATCGGCGTCGACGTAGCCGATTAACTTAGGTGTCGAGGTTCCGTTCTTGTGATAGGTCAGGCCGATCGTCGGAGTGCTAACGAGGTAGTGAAGAGTGCGGTCGAGCTCCGCCATGTGTTCTGCCTCGGGCCTTTTGAGGTAGGTGGCGGGTTGACTCGCAGAGTATGATAGATCCGGGCGGCAAGTGACGGCCGCGAAGAGGAGGCACCCCAGCTTTCTCTGGTAGTCGCGTATGCCTGCGGGCTTGAGCGGAGTGGAGCCTTCCTTGTGATTCCCTACGGTGTAGCGGTATGGCGTGGAGATGGTGATCGGGGTGAGTCCAAAGCGTTTGGCGATAGTGTCGGCATATTTCGCGGCGTTGAGATGGATCGCGCCTTCCTCTTCCTGGATATTGAGGCCGAGATATTGCGTGACGGTTGATGACACTATGAGAGTGAGGTCCTGCTGCAGCTCCCCTTGAACCAAGTAGTGACGTTGTCGGTTGAGCCGATGTAGAGCAGGTCGTCCACGTAGACGATGAGCAGAATGTAGTCGTCACCTTTCGTGAGTCGATACATGCCCTGGTCGTGTGGTAGCTGTCGGAATCCGATCCGGATGAGTCGAGCGTGTAGATACTGCTGCCACAATCTTGGAGCTTGTTTGATACCGTACAGGGACTTCAGCAGCTGACAGACTTGGTTGGGCTCTCCGTTGGAACCATGTGGAAGTTCGACGAAGATTTCGTCGTCAACAGGTGCGTACAGGAATGCATCGGCGACGTCGATTTGCCGCAGCTTCTTCTTCATGGCGGCGATTGCGAGAAGAATTCGAAGTGAAGTATGTCGGCTGACTGGGGCGAACGTCTCGGTGAAGTCTCGTCCGTGCTCTTGGTCGAAACCACGACCCAGCGCGCTTGAAACTTGTCGATGGTTCCGTCTGCCTTTGTCTTTACCCGGATGACCCATTTTCCGGTGAGTACCGTTTTGTTGCGTGCCACGCCGATGGGAACGACTTTCCAGGTGTTCCGTTCTTCCAGTGCTTTCAGCTCCTTGTCCATGGCTTCGCGCCACTTTTTCCTATGCTCCCCCCTCCGAGCATGCTGAACTGTGGCAGGCTCCTTAGGAAGTTCCGTGCCGTGGACCGCGGTGACGAGGCCTGGAGTCCGCTCTGTGTGTAGCGGAGAAGTGTCGTATCCTCGGGATAAGCTGCTTCGTCACCTTCTTCTGGATCAGGTAAGAAATTGGGTCCTATGCGTTCGGCTTCGTTGGTGTTGACTCGGGCGAGTGTAACGTAACCGTTGTCGGCGAAGTCGTAGAAGACTTCGGCGTTGATGCTTTCACGAGGGTTGTCATCGTCCATTGGGATATCCACCGAGCAGTAGGGAAGTGGTCCCGCTTCTTCCGAAGCTCCGTCCAAGGTCTGCTCGTCCAGGTCAGCTTCGTCTTCTGCCAAAGCGAAGGCTCGGCCCCCACGGAATCCGCCTGTGACATCTCGTGAAGTCTCTAAGTTGTGCAGGTACGTTGAAAGGGTGAGTCGCTCGTAGAAAATGGCATCACGTGCTGCCACTGTTTCCTTGGTGTTGATGTCGAAGATCTTCCATGCGTTGTAATGTTTTTCGATGCCCAGATGTAGTCCCCGTTGCGCACGTTGGGAGTATCGACCGGCGCGTGCAGCTGGGGGTCGGTACTGTACCATGCAGCCGAACACTCGTAACATTTTTGTGTTGCCCAATT